GTGATGTGGTTCGTTAGAGTCTACTCCAAACAGTAAACAGTGCATGTGCCAACCAAGCTTCTGGAAAGAAGCAACCAGAAGGACGATAGCTTGGACTTTCTTTGTATGTCCCTTTAAGTACTGGTACTTCCTACTTGGAAGCAATTCTCCGCTGGGAACTGGGGGAGTCGAAGCAAATGGATCCTGGAGAGGATGGATTCTGATATTCTGAACCACCGGACATTTTTTGATGATACGCTATATAGTGATGTTCGTGAAACCGTATGTGCAACCTGCAGTTTTCGGTTCATGAACTGTGCATGGATTTGCCTTGGAAACGTGTAGCACTACTCTGCATGTCGACTGGTATGAGGTTCTTGTGGTTGCTTTGGTGCAAGAGTTGGTCCTTGAAGGTCGTTTTTGTTATCCTTTTTGCTCACTGCTCGTGGCAAAAACCATGATGAACCCCATATGAACACTCACTGTTCATGTTGACGTGTCTAGCATTCGCCACATGGCCAGTTCTCTCACTTTTCTCAGCATCCAGCGCTCCAGTGCCGAGGTCCCTATTTGGGCCCGGGCCTGCGGGCCCCGTAACGGTGTGGTGGACCTCTTGCATGGGGAACACCAGCATTTGGCGAGGCCGGGGCCAGTACTGGGTAGGAAAACTAACCGTAACAAAAACTCCGGAAACCTTCGCAGAGCTTCGTGGAAGGTAATTTTATGTAATTTTGATGCACTAACTTTGTACAAAAAAGGTTTGCCGACCGCCTTTCTGCTTACACCTTCCATTTAGCCTGGACCATCACACCTGCTTAGGTCGACGGGCACAGGCACGGTGGCACAGAATATCAGCCGTGCGGCGTGATGTCGTCACTGAAGAGTCTCCAAAACCATAATGGAAGTTAAGGACAATGCTCCTTTCAAAGCCATCCAAAAGTTTTGGTCATATTTGTTATATTTTCTTATATTTGCCTACATGGAGTGTTTCGGATCACAATGACTTACGGATGGCATCATTTTGCCATCGCAAAGCCATCCAGCATTCTACTCCGAGAGCGCTTGCTCGCCCCAAGCCTTTGGAGGGGATATGAGGTTCGGGTGACACGTGTGATTGGGAGTGTATTGAGTTGATGAATTATTGCAGATGAACTTTGCTGCGCAGGAATCAGATGTATACATGTACTGTATCCGTTGAGTGGTTGTTCACAAAACTTGACATTGGCCGAGTATGACACTTACCGCGACTCCACGGAGCGCCGGCAGACAGTTCAAGGACCATAGAGCTTTTGACATGAGCCACCTATAGTTCACGCAAGGTTGCCCTGATAACCTTTTCCCTGCATGGTCCTGGTGGGTGGGGTTAAGTATCGTAGTTTCGGCGCACCTGAATTCATCCATGTACTTCTGAGTCACCCGGAAGAGGGAGGAAGCTGTCCCTTTGCTTCGTTAATGTCACGGGTCCCGTGCCGAGGCCGGGCTTGCAAGGAGTTCTGGCAATGGCAGGGCCCGCATTCATGCGTTTCCTAAAACCCAGCAACTGCAGCAGCAGAGCGCTGGCAGTGGCGAAAAGGAGAGTGCAAAGGTGTCCACATTGTCGAAATTTCATTCCTGATCCCTTGGGCGGGCGGTGGTTCTTACATGTCCGGGTTCGACCCATCACCCAAATACATCAACGAATGCATACGACATTGACAGGGGTTGGTCCGAAGAAAACTATGCCTGTTGTCCTGCATCTACCATGCACTGAAAACTTGTTATTTGACAGCTGGCTATGAAATCCTGGCGCCAAAAGCCCTCATCTTGCAAACCGGGGACAATCAATCTTTTGAAGTTGACCCTGCAACATGAACACTTTAGGCTTCCGTCCGCCTTATGGAAAAGAAGTACAGGTTTGAGATTTGCAGAGGAAATGCGCTAAGACTTCAGATTGGATATGGTCACCTCAGAAAAGGATGTGAAATAAACCAAGGTCGTAGATTCTGCGAGCAGCAAGTTCTGGAGTTTCCACGAAAGGTAAAATGTTGCACTGGCTATCAGGAAAGGCAGCAGCACTGATGAGACAGAGCCTTCAAATGTATCCATATGTCCCACGCAAGACGCAGGAGAGTTGGCCCGTTTAATGTTTTTGGCCGTGGTACGCTCAAGGAGCTGCGGATTGGATTTTCAAAGGGCGCCGACGTACTGGTATGGGACAGGCTTTGGCTTGTACGAAAGGCCCCTGCTTCGGCTCACATTGTGAAATCCGGCAGCAAGATCAATCGGTTTACGCCTTCAAGGCCGGTTCAAGACAAAGTCTAGCAGTCATGTGGAGTCAGCAAAAGCCTATCTTGTCATGATTTGCAAGCCAGCATGGAGGTGCATGATGCAAATTACTCTCTCTTCAATAGCCACAAGTTCACAAAGTAAAGCCTTACAGCAAGAATTAACGTTAGCTATTCAGTACATGCTCAAGGGCGAATCTCCTTGAGCCACTTTGCAGACTTCCTTTGACACGCATGCTTGCTTAAAACCTACAAGCACACACTTCCAACATACAACTTAATGTCGGATCCCAATTAGTATGGGAGGGAACAATACAGTTTGATTTAATTTAAATATCAGTGTTTTGCAATTTTTCCTTTAAACCAGAGTTGAACTGAATTCTTTAGATTTCTCGATTAAGCCGAAAACAAGGCTAACTTAATTGTTCATACGAATTGGAGTTTGCTTGAATTATATTTTCATTCTACTTTCAGTCTGCAATTTGCTTCTACTCTATTTCTAACGAGGGTCTAATTCTAATGTGGGTCTCATTGAGTTCTAATCTAATGCTCGTTTCAGTCTGTAGGTTGATGTATAATTCATTTTTCATTGAACTGAAAATCTTGTCTAATCTAATTCTACTGCAAATCTTGTCTGTATTTATTTGTCATTCAGATCGCTATTTTTTTAGTTCAATTCTAATGTAAATAGTGAAATATTAAAAATTGAATTTCAGTTCAAGTCCACCTTTATAGTTGTGTAGAGCTTGGGCAGGCTGGGGTGCGCAAACATCATCATAACTCCCATGTCACGTTTTGGCTCAAGAGCCAAAAGTGGACAGGGGAGTTTCTGTTCATTGGTTCAAGCAAGGTGTGAGGACACATCACTGCTGTGTGAGGGACACGCAATTACCATGTCTTGGCGCCCTGGCATTGATGTGGCAGTTCATACTGTGCTTATGCCGAGTTCCCCCAGCTGCACGGGACCGCTTGGACCGGGGGGACCGTGTTCAAGTGTTTATTCTATGGCAGAGCGTCGTGGTGTTCGAGCACTACCCGCACCATTGGCTTGCCTGATCGAGCACTCCGTGGTTGGCTAAGACCTCAGGAGTACTTGGGTGATGGCAGACCCTTCGACCCGATCATCTTGGCCCCGGCCTGCTGCCTGTGCGGGGATCCAAGTTGGAGGGCGTGCGGATGTGGGGTCGGCTTGTGTTGGGAGTGCAGTCCAACCTCAGAATGCTGCCCTTGCTGCCTCTCGATGGGTTCTGACAGCAGTTAGCGCGCCGAGATCAGGTGCAGCATTTGGTGTCAGCTGCAGGCGACGACCTAGCTCCTTCTGGAGCTAGTGGGGCCGCTTCGTCCTGGCAGGCAGAGGACTCGCTCGTGCGAGTTGCCGCTACAAGGGCGGCTTTGTGGAGGGAGCGCCATGGCATGAGCAGTGACGCTGACTTTGCCTATGCTTGGGAGGGGGCCTTCACGGCGGGCGGGCATTACTTGGCCGACCATTGGTTGGCTGTCCGCGTCGATATTGATGCTTTCCTGCGCGAGGGAACCCACGCCCCCTGCAGATCACTAAGTGGTTGCGCAAGCAGGCACAGGTGGATTGGGGCGTGCGTCAGATCCAGTTGGATTCTGCCCTCAAAAAGCCGCGCTCCCAACCTCGTGGTCAGGCGGCAGTGGCTGAGCCAGGCATGCTGGAATACTTGGAGGATCGCATCAAAGCCCTGCAGCGAGGAGGGGATCCTCGATGGACCTGCTTGTTGGAATTGGTTGGTGGCCTGTGGGTGCTTGTTCAGTCCGCAAAGTCTCCGAGTCCTACTTTCACACCCTGAATAGCTTAATGGGAGGGAATAGTACAAAGTTTTTTCACCCTGTGCACTTTTAAAGAAATCTTGATTTGCCTATTCTTCTGCCATTGTTGCCCTTTGGAATCCTTGCTTACCTATAACGACTACCTACCACTGCTGCTGCTGCTCCTACTACTACTACTACTACTACTACTACTACTACTACTACTACT